TGTTAAGTTATGTCAACCGAACGTATGTGAAAATATTTTTATGGTTGAATTTTATGTGCGAATGTTTGTGTAAAAAATGAGGTGTAAAATCAGTGTAATGTTGCTAGATGAAATGGTAATTTTTGGATGAATATAATTATAAAAAGATTACACTTAAAGATGCGCCAAATGATCCACGAAATGCCTTAAGAATTGATGTATGAATGATGATAAAAAAAAGTTGAAAATAGTGAACAAATTTCCAGCATTTGGTAGGTTGGGTTCGGCCAAACAAAATGGTACAAAATGCAATGAAAATGAATGTAAAATAAGTGAGATCAATAAGGATTGAACCCAACACATCATTACATGAAAGCTACAAAAATAAAATCAACAAAAGATTATGACAAAAATGGATTGGAACCGACTAAATTTCCAGCCTGCTGGAAATTGTAGTCTCGGCCAACTTTTAAAAAATGAGTTTCGTTTAATTCTTTTTTTAAAATGTGAGTTCATTGGGGATTGAAACCATGACCTCACTAAATAAAAATTTCTTTAAAATTTCGTGAGAAAAATGCAAGAAAAAATAGATGTGGTGAGTGGGGATTGAACCCACAACCTCTTGAATGGATGAGAGAGCTAGGAGAAAAATAAAGGAGAAAATAAATGTGTAGAGTGGGTATTGAACCCACAACCTCATGGATATGTGAGAAAGTTAAGAGATAAAATAAAAGAAAAATAATGAGCTTATGGGGATTGAACCCATAACTTCGTTGACTTAAACGAAAAAGGAGAAGAGAAAAAGAAAGGAAATATTATGGGGTTGATGGGGATTGAACTAGGGTCCCCCAAATCTGAAAAATGCGACTATCAAGTTTAAAATAAGATTAAGTGTTGTCCAAGGGATTCCAAATCGGGTTCTCTTGCCCAGTTCCATAGTGACACATAATTCATACGCAAGTAAATATTTAATGAATGCTTTCTCTAAAGATCGAAATCAATATCTTGGCATATCTACAAGATGCATAAGTCTTGCACCACATAATCTTGGGCAAATATGAATCACTTAGACAAACTATGAATGATGCCTCATGGCTTGTATGTATAGACTCATAAGTCTAACATACGTTTAAAAGTAAATGAACCTAAGATGTATGTAATGAAATCATGAAACCTTAGAAGGGTTAGTACGAGTGTAAAATACACTAAATGGCCAAATGCATTGGCATATGATGAAACAAACAATGAAATGATGAAATGAACAATGAAATGATGAAATGAATAATGAAATGATGAAACCCTAGAAGGGTTAAGTAAGAGTGTGAAACACACCAAATGGCCAAGTGCATTGGCATATGATGAAATGAACATTCACGTAAAAAGGGGTGAGTAACTATGAAGAGAAAATGTGCTAATGATAATGAATGTGGTGACAACATTATATGAGGCTAATGTAAAAGATGAGAGCAATCTCAAATGAGCCTAAGTAAATGTTACCAAAACGTACTCACCTATGAGAGTGTAAAGTTAATGAAGAGACCAGTCTCTATGAATACTCTAATGAAAGTATTGAGATTAACATACTTAATACTAATGATGAGATGAGAAATCATCTATTGAGCTATGATGTCCTCATACTAGAAGTCAACTTACATGATGTAAGAGTTGAATGTAATGGAACTTTATACTGAGCACCGATAGACTAGCTATGAGTGGTGATGCCTTCTATCGAGAAGGGCGGAGGTTCACGTAACTCTCATGAGTTGAGACTGTCCGGCATGACGAGTATGTGTCTCTTTATATCTCCTAGTCTTCGAACCTATACTGCAAATATAGGGATAGGCGGGGTTCAATTCCTATGTACCTAGCATGTTTTGGGTCACTTTGACCGGTGATTCCACCTCTTTTCGGTGTGGGGTTTCATGACACTGGATTTCATGATGCTCACATGATCTATGTCGATTAAAGTTAAAGTTCCCAATTAATGAATGAGGCCAGCCTCAAATCATGCACATAATGAAACGAATTATATCAAAGATGTTAGGATTGGATAATCAAGAGGTGAGTTAGATTCAAGTAATGACATTAGGTCATTCTAGGTCATTGCACAAAGAACCCGATGAATGTCTTAAACTACATCTTAGGTATAGCTGGTGTTTACACTGTCCCATGAATGAAATGAAATGAAGTACGTATCAATGAATGAAGCAGACTCTGTGTTTACTAAAGCAGACTTCCTAGTTGAGGTCCCATATGCTGAGCCGTCATTTTAGGGAAGTCTTAATGTCAAGTCCATGATTATAAGGTACCATGGCATACTAATATATGATATGAACAATGTTATGTGTTATATGAAATATGATATGTGAAATATGTTATGTGTTGTTTGCAAAATGATAAGTTTGATGATGCATGTTACTCTCATGGCATGACTTTCCAAATCCAAATTTGGCAGGTCCATTGACTTTCCTGATCCAAATTTGGCAAGTCCACTGACTTCACTTTCCATAAATTATGTTGTTAGGAAAGAGTTATTCTTTCTCATGCATGTCCTTGGTGTGTGCTTGCATATACCCATATTTAGTACAAGTGTGTACTAATTTCATACAAATATCTACTTTTAGGTGCAGGCATAGGTGAACGTTAGATCTTACAGTACGACGTTGCAGCTATCCGGACTTGGTAGGCCCTCATGCTTTCGAGGTTGTCTACTGTTATTATCTAGCTTAAATGTAGACTTTAGCTAGTGGAGCATGTTCAACTCCTGTTTCATTTCCCATTTCATTTTAGACTTGTATTGGTGCCGTTTTGGCAAGACACATTTAATACAACTACGAACTATATCTTTCATTTGATTATACATATATTAAATTGTTGATTTGTGAACGCCTATAATGTTAATTTTAAAATGTTTAGCATGAAGTAAGAAGACAAAAAATTCAAATTTTCCACCAAAATTAATCTAGATGAAGTAAGAATGACGTATCTAGGCTTGTCTGCGACCTCTGAGAGGTCAACGACGCCAGCCTCTTCTGGGGTCTAGACTCCGGTCTTAACACTAAATTTGTAGTTCTTAAGACGTTGATAGTAGAATTGATTAATTGGGCGAAATTTAATTATTAATGAGTGGGTAGTGGATTGGTTATAAATAATATTAATAAATTAAATTATAATAAATATTTGAATGCCATGTAATTTTTAAAAATATTTAAATAGTTTAAATATGAAATCGTTAAATAAGTGGTCAATTTTGAACCGAAAGATGGATGAGAAGGGTATTTTGGAGCCAATAGGTGGATGAGAATGGCATTTTGGAGTCAATAAGTGGATGGAAAGTAGTTTTGTACCATTTCTAATACTTCGAGGGTATTTTAGGCCCTTTTCCAAAGAATAAAATAAAACTTTAAGAATTCCTCAAGAACCTATACATAACGATTTCATAGATGATTTATCGAAAGGAATACATGTTTGGCGTGACGATAACATATTCATCACTATGAGAAATCTCAGTAACTCTTAGGATAAATCCTTTGGCAAAACAACCTTCGATTCGCAAGAAAATTTGATGAACGCTTTGAGTTTTAACTCTAAGCGTAAATTGATTTGGAAAAACTGAACCGAATCAATTTATACCCCTAATTATTTAGTAAAAACGCTTAAATCTGAAAGGATAAGTAAAAAAGCAAAACATCCCTCATATTTTCGGATAAGTTTCTTTAATTGAATAGTCTGACTTCAAACAGGTATACCTCCTTCATACGAGCTCAAAATTTAGCAAATTTAACGGCATTGGAAAGAGGATTGCAAGACATTTCATTTGATATTTTATGGACCGCCTAAATCATATTATGCTGAAAGTTATGATCGTTTGGAGTTGATCTAAAACTCATACTTACCATAATTTGTCAAAAAATTTAAATTTAGTCTTTCCATTAATAATTTTTTCTAAATTTAGTTCTTTCTGAAGAGGGATGTTACATGCAATTATTTTTATTAGCTCATTCACTCCATTTTTATACTCATTCAAGTATTAAAATATTGTAAAATTATTTTGTAATCTATATTTATTTCATACAAAATCCCCTAATTATTTTGTCTCATTTATTGACAATTATCTTAGACGATGTACCAAACATTACATTTATTAAAAAATATTCTTATAAATATTTGTCATTTACACCTACCTACCTGTGAAGAGACAAATCAAATTTAAAATTAGCACACTTTCTACAAGTGGTTGACCAAAGAAGGTATTGCTTTAGGTGTTTTTGAAAGATAAAACTAAAAATGTAATATCGACGCAAATATGAAATCAAGTTATTTAGAAAGAAAAATATCGAACTCCAAAAAATGTAGATAACAAATAATACATATTTCATGCAATATTCCCCAATTATTCTGTCTCATTTACAGGTAATTATCCTAGACGATGTACCAAGTCATGTCGTTATATTTATTTTAAAAAAATCTTTTAAGCATTGTCATTTATACCTACCTACATGCGAACAGACTAATCAAATATGAAATTATCACACTTTGTATATGTGGTTGACCAAAGAGGATATTGCTTTAGATGCTTTTGAAAGATAAAATTAAGGCAAAATGGTATGGTGAAACCCTTATACTTACATCAGTTTATATTTTGAATCCTCATACTTAATCATTTGTCAACTGAGCCCTTAAACTCAATGAACACAATTTAATAAATCCCTCTGACCGTTGACTAGGCTGGTGTGGCATTAAAATGTCCGAGTTCGCATAAGTGTGTAACTACACGCTCTTAAAGGCAAGTAAATAACATTTTTGGGTTTAAAAAAAGTTAAAATTATAAAAGAAATAAATGTTTTAAAAACAATTAATTAAAATTTCTTCTTCTTCACCCACTATCCCATCCTTTTCAACCATTTTATCCAAAATCCGACCTTTTTTTCCGTTCTTCAGAATCCTTTTCAGCCATTTTTTTTTTACGAAAATAACTCTTCATCTTCTTCAAACATCAAATTAAAAGCAAGAGGACAACAGAGGAACATTCAGTAAAACAAACTACAAACGTGAAGGATAGAAACAGAGTTTGTCATCTCCAAGTAATTACATCATTTTGTTTTACAAAAGAGAGGGAAAAGACAAGCCCCGACATTGTTCCACTCAACTCTTGTCTTTGCACTGCATTCGATGAAAAGACGTCCATATTAACTGGCAAAATCAATTCCCTATTTTTTGCTTACAACTATTTCACTCTCCTTTTTCATCCATTTTCAACCCAAACCCAATCATTTTTTTCTTCTTTAGAATCTATTAACAACAATTTATCAGAATTTGGGTATAACTTGAGTTCATTGATTCATCGCGGAGGGAGAAAGCGGCGTTGGTGGTACTCGTTGAAGCACTGCATCGCAGTGAAGTGAGAGAGAGAAGCAGCGTTGGTGGTGCACCCCAGAGACCACTATTCATAGTGAATTAAGAGAGATAGTGGCGACACTAGTCAATGTAGAGGAGAACGAGGTGGGTGAGGTGCGAGTTCATGGCGGTGAAGAGGTTTTTCGGCTAGATCTGGTGGTGCGATGAGTTAGGTTGAGGTTGGAAATGGAAAGGAAAATGATGATAGTGTGCGCTGGAGATGTAGACAGGTGAGGGAGAGAGCATATCACTTTCACCGGTAAAAATGGCGACGGCGGCGGTGATGACTTTCTTTGTAGATTTTGGGTGTGAAATGGGGAAATTGAATGTACGGAGTTCTCATTTTTCCATTATAGCTCACCAAAAGCTTCACCGCTGTTTTTACTCATTAAACAAACATATCAATAGATCAAACAAAACACATAAAAACGTATGAAAATGCAAAACATGAAATTCGAGTAATGAAGCTGACAAAAAAGTTGAACGGGAAATGGTGAAATTATACTCTAAAGAATAAATTAAATTTTATTATTTTACCTTTTATTAAATAATCTTAAAAATAGTAATATAATAATTATGACATGTCATAATATATCTGATGTTTTTATGACATGTCATTTATGTAAAGGAGAGTGAACTATACACATTGTTGGAAGGACTTAAAAATCTCGTTATAATTGAGTCTAAGAGTTCAGTTGACAAAAAAATAAGTAGAATGGTCCAGAATACAAGTTGATACAGGTGTAAGGGTCCATCAGACCATTTCACCTAAAATGAAAAATATAAAATCGGCGCAAACATGAAATCAAGTCATTCAAAAAGAAAGATTTCAAAATGTAGAAAATGTGTAGTACATGGAATAACAAATAATAGATATTACATGCATGATCCTGTAATTAATTTGTCTCATTTAATTGTAATTTATCTTAGACGATATACAGGTAGTGTCGTTACATTTATTAAAATAATCTTATAAAAAATTGTCATTTACATCTACCTACCTGTGAACATACAAATAAAATTTGAAATTAACACACTTTTTGCATGTGGTTGATTAAAGAGGGTATTGTTTTAGGTATTTTTGAAATAAAATTAAAAAAGTAAATCGACAAGTCATTCAGAAAGAGAGATATCAAGTTGCACATGGGATAACAAATAATAAATATTCCATGCAATATCCCCTAACATTATTGTCTCATTTATTGGTGATTATCTTAGACGGTATACGATATCGTGTCGTTACATTTATTTTTAAAAATTCTTATAAATATTTGTCATTTACACCTGTGAACAGATAAATCATATCTGAAATTAGCACACTTTCTGTATGTGGTTGACCAAAGAGGGTATTGTTTTAGCTGTTTTTGAAAGATAAAACTAAAAACATAACATCGATGCAGTGATCAAAATCAAGTCATTCAGAAAGAAAGATCTCAAATTGCGGGCGGTACATAGGATAACAGAAAACTCCAATTGAGTTGGTGCTTTCAGAAAATATTATTTAAGAATCAGGCACAAATGCCCTTATTATCCTTGAAGGGAAAAAAAAAAGAGCAAAGGTCATAGCTAAACGTTACTAAAATTGAAAGCAAACAAAAGCTTTGAAACAAATTGGTTTTAGTCTTGACAATGATAAACGTTGAACTGCATTATTTTGCAGGAGACCCAAATAAGAAGCTGATCTAACCCAAAGCAGTTTTCTTTTGGTGGAAAACGATAGCATAAACTAGGATTATAACACCAATGTCCTGTCTAAGTTATACATGTGCTTAGCATGAAGATAGAATGACTCATCATGATCATGTCCTCCCATTCTTGTTACGCTATTTGAATGGATTCCTCTGCTCACTGTCGAAACAAAAATGTTTTTAAACATACAGTAAGTGGTCTGGGAACTTCTTAACGAATTTGGGCAAAAAATTTGGCATAAAGGAAGAAAGAAAGGAACAAGTCTTTGGTCTCCATATTTCATCAACTTTAATTGTTTTAGTTCAAATTTGATAAAACAGATACCAGATAAATTATGAATCTAATTAATTGTTTAAGATTCTTAACTTCGACAACCAAAAAAAAAATATTTCAAAGAGAAATATCTTTAATTAAATTGTGATCAACGTTAAAAGGAAATAAGATGCGTACTTAATCGAAACTCTATTTTTGGTAAACATAACTTCCTAAATATTTATAAAAAAAATTGAAAAATTATATAACTCTATATATTTTAAATATATAGAGATATATCTTAAAGAAAAAATAGAAAAATTGCATTGAAAATGATTTCAAATGTATTTTTGATTTGATCAAAATAATATTTCAAATTGTTTAAAAATTTAAGAAGCTTAAATATTAATTAAATAGTAGAGGGCCAAAATTGGGCGTCAACAATTGCCTCTCGTTTGCTTAGGATGGATGAAGAAAATCTGAGGCAAACGAAATTGACAACTCCAATTTTGTCTGACCACTAATTCATCTTTTCTTAAAGGGAAATGGTAATGAATCTGAGGAAATATGGCCTATTAAGTTTACTACTTATCTCAGTTCATACGAGAATTCAGGTCACTAGTAGTTCGATATGCTTGATTTGGCACACGATTTTCAAAGAAATGCAAAAGCTATTTTAGTGTCGAAGTATAAAGAGACCAAAAAAGCTCGAGAACATAGGCATGACAAAATAGTTGGAGTACAATCGAGTTTTCAACATTAATTCTGCCTACATATCCCTAAATTAGGGAATCAAACTGCTTGTAGTTTGACTCAATCAGTTGAAAAGGAATTTTTTTTTTGCGGATTTAACCTTTAGCTTAAGGATGAGTGACAAATGGGTTGAAAATGGAAAAGAGGCATGCAAACATCTCACTTATGAATGTGGGGGCCCTTTACACCCGTAGGTAAGAACTTACATGGACATAACTTCCAAAGCTCTAGGTGTATTGTCACGCGAATTGAAAATTTGCCTCCGGTGAGAGTTGAAAATTTTCACTAAAGGCGAAACTGAAACTATTAAACCCAAGAAAATACCCACATGCCTTGGGATAGGAATGTGGTTTGATTGTGGTGGAAGTCGCTCCTCAACTCGTGTCCTAAGAGTTTGATATTCTTCTTCGGACTATGCCCCAGTTTGCTGCTAAGAAAAAGTTTCATGCTGTGCTACATCCTATTTGACGTAGTCCGCTTTGTTTATTAAAAAGTCTAGAAAAGAGTTATCAGTGGAAAATTTAACACAAATACAAATATAATTTGTGCAAACCTGGTATAGCATGTCATACTGAAGGAGATGACGATCCAATTTCAAGTGTAATTCTCTTGAAGAAAGTACCGATCCAAAATAGTGTGCCAATTTGAACTATGTGATGATTCAATAATAATTTTAACTTGTCACGTTGAAGGAAGTGACACTCCTATAATAATTTAATGTGTCAACGTTGAAGGAAGTGACACTCCAGTAATAATTTTACGTGTCACGTTGAAGGAAGTGACGCTCCAATATGATTTAACGTGTCACGTTGAAGGAAGTGACTCTCCAATAATAATTTAACGTGTCACGTTAAAGGAAGTGACACTCCTATAATAATTAACGAGTCACGATGAAGGAAGTGACACTCCAATAATGATTTTAACGTGTCATGTTGAAGGAAGTGATGCTCCAATAATAATTTTAGTGTGTCACGTTGAAGGAAGTGACACTCCAATAATAATTTTAATGTGTAATGTTGAAGGAAGTGACACTCCAATAATAATTTTAATGTGTAATGTTGAAGTGACACTCCAATAATAATTTTAATGTGTAATGTTGAAGGAAGTGATACTCCAATAATAAATTAATGTGTCACATTGAAGGAAGTGACTCTCCAATAATAATTTAACATGTCATGCTGAAGGAAGTGACACCCCAATAATGATTTAACGTGTTACGTTGAAGGAAATGACTTTCCAATAATAAGTTAGTGTGTCACGTTGAAAGAAGTGACACTCCAATGACAACCCTATGATAAAAAACATCTCTGGTTGTCATTAAAACTTTGTCGTCCCAGCGCCGCTCATTGAAAATTTGTTAGAAAGAACAAATAAATTGGTAAAAAAACTTTGAACGAGTCATGACGATCTGCTAACCTCAGAGAATGCGAGATTCCGAAAGAACTTTTAACTTTGAAATGAGGCGCTAAAGACCAACTAGGGATATCAAACAAGATTTGTCCCTACTTTGAATCTGGAATCTCTTGTAAAGAGAAGATTGGTTTGATAAAGGTTATCTTTGAAACTTAAAGTTGACGGAGATTTTAAGGACTTTAAACAATTTCAAAAGTTGCCTTTGTTTCCAGTCTAAGGGTACTTAATTAAAATAATTTTCACAAAATGATGGATGACTAATTCAAAAACATGCCTCAGTTTCCTGTTAGGTCTGTGGTTTGAAACAGTAGGAAGACGGAATATTTATATAGGATTGCCTACGTATCTTGTTGGAACAAGAAATCAGGTCTGACGTAGTTCGAACATGAAACTTAACAGAATTTAAAGAGAACGAAAAAATTGTCAGATAAAAGGCGAGGTAATAGAGGGCCGCTAACGTAAAATAGAGGATAAGAGTAAACTTGTCGAACTGGATCCTCGGTGTTGAGAGTTGTTCCAAATAAAATCTTTAGATAAGGACCAGTTTGTGTCTTTTGTCTAGTGAATTCTGGGTTGATATTTCAAAAATCGAAAAAACCTTTTGAAATTTTGACTTCAATTCTGACGACTGTAGCAAAACTCATATGTAATTTAGTAGCAAAAAATTAACAAAGTAAAAGATAAGTTTTAAAATGAAGTTTTTCAACTTATATTGGTCCGGATAACGTCTTATGGTCTTCGCCATTGTTCCAAGCTATTCCATCTGGTAAAAATATAGAATGTGTAAGTCACAATAAATTGAAAGGAAAATTTTAGAAGATGAGCAAGAGTAGAAATCATCTGAGTTATGACGAGGCCGCTGTTAGTCAAATGATGTCTTGTAATTTTATAGTTCCTGCATCCAAAGAAAAATTCTTAGTTTTGAGAGACTTATTCATGTTTGGCTTTGCCTTTCCATCCTGATGCTCCTTGGCTATCTGGCTCACTAGCTTGCTGATCTTGAAATGTTGCTTGATGGAATTTTTGAGGACATTCTCAAAAATTCTGCCCCGGTTTAAATGATAACATAAACTTTGAACTTTTGTAGTTTTTTAGTTGAATTTTTGAGTGAATCTTAAAAATTCTGCCCCAGTTGCAACTCTGAAGTGATCCTTGATTCTGGATTGTTGAATAAAGCTCTCGTTCTCGTTAAATTTTGAGATCCTCTCAAAATTCTACCTCAGTTTGCATTATAAAGAGAAATGAGAAACTTACAGGGAATATGACCGAACCGGTGTGGCACCTACGTATCCCGTTGAGAAGGAATCGGTCAAACATAGTTTCAGCTCTTAAGGATTAACGGGAATAGAAAAAAAATTAACTAAGGAATCGACCGAGGCCGACACAGACCGCCTATGTATGTCATTCTTGAGAATTCAGGTCGAACGTAGTTCAAATACAAGAAAAAATTAAAAAAGGGATAAAGGGGTGATCGAAGACGACATAGGCCGCCTACGTATCTTATTCTTGAATATTCAGGTCAGACGTAGTTCATTACAGATGAAAGATACCTAAAAAGGAAATCAATTCCAAACAAACGCTTACAAAGAAACAAAGCGATAAAAGTGCGATTACAGAGAAATAAAACAACAAACTCCAAATGCAAGACTAAAAGATGTCAAAAGTGTGACTTCTAGGAATTTTCTTCTTCTTTGCAACTGGTCATGCCAACAACTACTCCTTATGCTTAGGTAGTGGATTGGTGTTCACATTCGGTGGCGCTTGAGCAAGATTTATCACCTCATTGTCAATCAGATCTTGAATTTTGTGTTTGAGAGTGATAGACCTCTTAGTATCATGTCCAACAACTCCTGAATGAGAAGCACAATGCTTATTTAGATCATCAAAAATTGGCTAAAGTATTAATAATCTTGGCTTCCACTAGATGAAGTATACCTGCCTCTTTCAATCTCTCAAAAAGATGAGTCTGTGTCTCACACAATTGAGTGAAGACTCTACGAGACTTTTTCTCAAAATTAGGACGAGGTGCATTGTTTCGTGAATTTTGCATTGGTCGTGGAGAGTGAAATGTTGCTTGATTGTTGCAAACATAATATAGTGAATTAGGACAGCCTGGAGGTGGTTGACGGTTATACGAGGTAGCTCCTCGAGTCATTAACAGCATGACTTTTTTCTCCTTTTTCTTTCCAAAGGAACATGTTGGATACACTCTATTAGCAAACTGAGATGAGGTGTAACACATTATTCTGCTAGTTATGAGATCGTCTTCAATCATTTCTCCAACTATAATAACTTCAGCAAATGTCTTTCACCCATTGTCACCATTGGCTCATAGTATTCTGAGTCTTGATCTTGAATGAAGTAAGTGATCATTTCTGACTCCTCTATAGGTGGGTGCACCCTAACAGCTTCTTTCCTCCAACGAATGGCATATTCTCGAAAGCATTAAGTTGACTTTAGTTTTAGCTTTGTAATAGAGATCCTATCAGGAGCATTTTCAAACATGAAACTAGTAGTGATCCACAAAAGCATTCACTAGGTCATCCCAAGTACATCATTTGGTCAAATCTTGCTTAGAGTACCACTCCAAGGCTTTTCCAGTCAGACATTGATTAAATAGCTTGATTATTATCCCTTTGTTATTTCCAATGCCAATAAACTTTTCACAGTAAATTTTCAAGTGAAAGAAAGGATTTCCTGATCTACTATATTTTCAAACTTTGGAATCTTATAATCTGGTGGAAGCTCAACCTCAGGAAATGTGCACAATTCTTCGTATCTAACACTCTGGCTACTATCAAACCCACGAAGACCTATCATAGCATCCTCCAAGAGGAGTATCTTGAGTTGAATTAGTGTGTGAGGCGCTTTGAGTTTGCTGAAATGTGGCAAAATGATCTCCTTGATAAAACTCAATAAAATTCGAATACACGGGTGGAATGGGCCCCTTTTGGCGACATTAGGTGGGTGATTCTGAGAAGCAGCATGGTATTGAGATACCAGGAGATTCAGTTCATCAATTTGTCTCTCTAGACGAGCAATGACTTCCATTGATGATTCTGTTGCTATCAAGGTGCTAGGATTGGTCAAGACAGATGCAGTGGGATCATTTCAGATGAAGCAGCTGTGTTGATAGTGGAATTCATTTTTGAATGAAATCTTTTAGTAGTCCAAGTAATAAATGATGAGTCTGTATAAATTCTCTTGACCTTAGACCGTGTGAAATATGAATGTTCTGCCAGCGGGTACTTTGGTGAAGTGAGCAAGTTTGATTACCAACACAAATCAGTCTATCCTAAAAAAAAAACTCAAAAATGAGAGAGTTAGTCCATTAGTCATAATAATCAACCAAAATAATATATAAAACGAATAACAGTTGTTTTTCTTAAAACAAATTAGTCCAAAACTTGAGGAGGCGAAGACTTTAAAACGTAGTCAAATGGATAGAACTTGATCATATGTGAACTCAAATTTTGACGAAAGAAAGATGTTTGAAAATAACAAACTATATGATTTGAATAAAGATTCAAATGTTGATTTTGAAAAGGTTCAACTGAAAAGCTCTTTTGAGAAACAAAGATGTCATAAAAATGACTATAAAATGACGTAAAATTTAGTAGCGCCGGCTAGGTAGGTATAAAAATTATTTTCAATAAACAACGAGGTCAACGTGAATTTCAATGATGACCTAATAATTTTCTAAAGCTTTATTGAACCTAGAACTTGAGTGATTTTGAACATATTTTGGTGATGGAGTTAAAGTATTTTGGAAGGTTTGAAAATTGGATTGATGTTCTAACATATTGGAATAGAATAATGGACCAGTTATGCTTAAAGAAAACATATGCATATAAACACATAGGTCAAACAACCACAAATAAAACAAAATATGTAACATTTAACACACAAACAATATATAATGCCTCCTAACATACATGTGACCTTTTAAGACAATTGCAAGCCTAACATTCGAAGGATGTGTATATCATTTATAAATCGTTCCATTGCCCCAAAAATTTTACACAAAACTTATGAATAAAATAAATGGGGATACATAATAAAGGAGAGGGAAATAAATATCAGTTTCACGTAGGGGTACAATGGTAAACTAAACTAAGCTTTCGTCATCAATCCTGAACTTCTTGATGCTTTTGAATTTCTTCCGGATGAAATTGGTCTTCCTTTGACTTAAACAAATAAACTACTTATAAAATAAAATCCCAACCCCAAGGGACAATGGTACGTACAAATCAAAATACATATCCTTCAAAT